AAGCAAGGCACTAAGCAATTCAGTGAGACTCTGTCTCTAAATAAAATATGAAATTGGGCTGGGGATGTGACCGAGTACCCCTAAATTCAATCCCCCATACCCCACCCCCCAAAATGTGTACTTTTTATATAGGATTTTTCCCACTCAGCTTTTACCCCCCCCCCATGACAGTCTTAGGGTGTTGGATTTTTTATTTCTTTGTTGGACTTGCAGAATTTTATTAAGAATCAAGATTCAGTTTGTTTATATACCTAGACTGATAAACATTTATGATCTGTTTTGTTTATAAAACCAGAAGCTTGGTGTCATAGTTGTGGCACAATAGTTAGCCTTTGCATCTTCTAGTAGCATCAGGGCCTCCTGCTTTGCATCTGCTGTTCTGTAGATCAGCTTCAAATGGCATTTCAGTGTGGCTTGGTAGTTGCCGGGACAGTGTCTAGGCTATATATAAATTAAAGCCCTCTTTAATGACGGGGTTACCTATTCCTTTTATTTTGTTTATTTGTTTTGTGTTGCTGAGCCTTGTGCATACGAGGCAAGCACTCTACCAATTAAGCTATATCCCCAGCTCATGTATCTATTCCTTTATTTATTTAAAATATTTATTTTATTTTGTGTTTTAGTTGTAGTTGGACACGCAATACCTTTATTTTATTTTTATGTGGTGCTGAGAATCAAACCTAACGCCCCACACATGGTAGTCAAGTACTCTACCACTGAGCCACAACCCCAGCCCTTAAATATTTATTTTTTAGTTATCGTTTGACACAATACCCTTATTTTTATGTGGTGCTGAGGATCAAACCCAGTGCTGAACCTAGGGCCGCGTACATTCTAGGTGAGTGCTCTGCCACTGAACCACAACCCAAGCCCCATCTATTCCTTTTAATTTAGAATCTTCTAAATTCTGTGGAGCCTTTAGGAAATTGTGGGTCCTTTATCTTTCTTTCTTTCTTTGTGGTACTAGGGATTGACCCCTGCCTTTCCCCCAGGGAATTCATGCTTGTTAGGCAAGTGCTCTGAGCTATATCCCTAGACCAGAAAAATGTTTGATAATTTGTTTTTATTTTTTTTTTCATAAATGGAGCACAACTTTTCATTGCTCTGGTTGAACATGATGTAGAGTTACACTATTTGTGCAATCATAACCATACATAGGGTAATAATGTCCGTCTCATTCCACCATCTCCCCTCCTCACCCCCTCTCCTCTTCTTTGTTCCCTCTGCCTAATCCAAAGTTCCTCCATTCTTCCCTCCCCACTCCCCACCCACCACTTCCTATGGATCAGTGTCCATTTATCAGAGAAAACATTTGGCCTTTGGTTTTTTGGGATTGGCTTACTTCACTTAGCATGTTCTCTAACTCCATTCATTTACCTGTAAATGCCATAATTTCATTCTTCTTTAAGGCTGAGGAATATTCCATTGTGTATGTATATCACAGTTTCTTTATCCATTTATCTATTAAAGGGCATCGAAATTGGTTCCACAGTTTGGCTATTGTGAATTGAGCTGCTATAAACATTGATGTGGCTGCTTTGCTGTTAGTATGTTGATTTTAAGTCCTTTGGGTATAGAACGAAGAGTAGGATAACTGGGTTAAATGGTGATTCCATTCCAAGTTTTCTAAGGAGTCTCCATACAGCTTTGCAAAGTGGTTGCACCATTTTGCAGTCCCACTAGCAATGATTCAGTGTACCTTTTCCCCTACATCCTTACCTTAGAGTAGTTTTGATTTACATTTCTCTAATTGTTAGAGATATTGAACCTTTTTTCATATATTTGTTGGTCTAATGTGTATCATCTTCTGTGAAGTGTCTGCTCATTTCTTTATCCCATTTATTGATTGCATTATTTATTTATTTTGGTGTTGATTTTTTTTTGAGTTCTTTGTATATTCTGGAGATTAGTGCTGTATCTGATGTGCACGTAGTAAAGATTTTCTTCCATTCTGTTGGCTTTCTCTTCACAGTTATTTTTTCCTTTGCTACAAAGAAGCTTTTTAGTTTGAATCCATCCCATTTATTGATTCTTGTTTTTATTTCTTATGCTTTAGGAGTCTTGTTAAGGAAGTCAGGTCCTAAGCTGACATGATGAAGATTTGGGCCGATTAGACGCAGAGTCTCTAGTCTAAATCCTAGGTCCTTGATCCACTTTGAGTTTTGTACAGGATGAGAGATAGAGGTTTAATTTCAGTTTGCTGCATAAGAATTTCCAGTTTTCCCAGCACCATTTGTTGAAGAGGTTATCTTTTCTCCAGTGTATGTTTTTGGCCCCTTTGTCTAGTATGAGATAACTGTATTTATGTAGGTTTGTCTCTGTGTGCTCTATTGTGTACCATTGGTCTACATGTCTGTTTTGGTGCCAATACCAGAGCGTTTTTGTTACTGTAGCTCTGTAGTATAGTTTAAGGTCTGGTTGTTCAAAACATTACAAAGATTGCAGAATAGTTTAAGGTCTGGTATTGTGATGTTTCCTACTTCACTCTTCTTGCTAAGGATTGCTTTGACTATTCTGGGTCTTTTACTTTTTCAAATGAATTTCATGATTCTTTTTCTGTTTCTGTGAAAATTTGTTTATATTTAGCTCAGTGATTGAGTTAGGCATAGGGAAGACAGAATGTAGAGTACCTGCCCAAGTTTGGGAGTGGAATCCATAAACATTTAACCAAGTCATGACTCTTCATTAAATCCAGGCTTAGTATATAGATTTATTTCATTAGTCAGCATTGTATTGTATGGAATATTGCTTGAAATAAATGACCTATCAGCTAGAGTACGGGATACTTTTTACATTTGCTAAAGTTTCTTTCAATCTTCTATTTAAATCAACTGCAAATCATTTTTTTTGCGGGGGGGACATAGAGGTTTTCTTCCACTGAGCCATATCCAAGCCTGTTATATTTTATGTTTTTGAGACAGGGTCTCACTGTTACCAAAGACTTGCTAAATTACCAAGACTGGCCTCGAACTTGTGATCCTGATGTCTCAGCGTCCTGAGCCTGGGAGTTGCTGAGATTACAGGCACACACCACCATGCCTGGTGCAAATGACTTTTTAAGGTTATTAGTTTTGGTTTGGTTGTCTTGTATTTTAATTACTAATAAAGCTTTTTTTTAATGTAGTTAGATAAGTTGATATAAAGGTCCATATGAAAAACAAACATGCAAGAATCATCAGGAAAGCATTAAAAAAACTACATGGGAGAACTAGCACTAGTGGACATTAAAGCATACCATAAAAGCTCTATAATTAAAACAGTGTGGTGCTGATATATGAAGAGACAGTATAACAGTAGCACAAGAAAGAAAGCCCAGAAGTATTCCAAGTACATAAGGAAATTAAGTATATGGTAAATCATGGGGCAAAGAAGGGTTTTTAGTAAATGATGCTGTGACAACTGACTAGGTATTTGGAGAAATAGATAATAGATCCATGCTTTATACCATACACAAGTAAAAAACTCTAAATGGGTCAGAAATCTAAATGAAAAATTAATGAAACCCTATATATTCTAGAAGAAAATATTAGTGAATTTTTTGGTATAAGACTTCTTAGCAGACCAAAATTCAGAGATAATAAATTAAATGATTGATAAATTTATTGCATAAACTTGGTAGCATGTAGAGCATAAGGCTCCATGGGGAAAATCCACAGGCAGTTTTATTAAGAAGGGAAAGAGGAAGGCGGCAAGGATGCTCATTATCTATACAGCATTGTACTTAGAGGTTTAACTATTGCCATTAGATAAATCAATTGTGGAGGTAGAATAATTGGTATAAAAAGTAGTCCAGCTGTCTTGTTTGCAGATGATGTGGTAGTACAGGTTGGGTATCCTTATTTGAAATGCTTGGGATCAGAAGTGTTTTGATTTTGGGCGTTATTTCAGAATTTGAAATCTTTGCAAATATGAGTTTAAACGTAAAATTCTTTTTTTTTCCTTTTATATTGTATATATACCTTTTACACATAGCCTGAAGGTAATTTTAAGCAAAGTTCTGAATTTTGGAGCACTGCAGATTTCAGATATTCAGATTAGAGTGTTCCACCTATCTTAGAAAAACCCTAAAGAATCTATGATAAATCTAACTTTTTTGTGTGTGTGTGGTATTGGGTTCCATCCTAGAGCCTTACACATGCTACACAAACTCTCCACTGCTGAGCTACATCCCCAGCCCTTATTTCATTTTTTTAAAATATTTTTCAGTTGTTGTTGGACACAGTATTTTTCTTTTATTTATTTTTATGTGGTGCTGAGGATTGAACCCAGGGCCTTGCACATGCTAGGCGAGTGCTCTACTGCTAAGCCACAACCCCAGCCCTCCTTATTTCATTTTGAGATAGGATCTTACTAAATTGCCAAAGCTAGCCTTGAACTTGGAATTGTCCTGCTTCAGCCTCCTTTGTAGCTGGTATTTTAGGCATGCTCTTTTAAATTTTGTATTTTGAGACACAGTCTCACTATGTTGTACAGGTTGTCCTTGAACTTAGAATCCTTCTGCATTAGCCTCCCAAGTCAATTTTAAGACTAATGTAAAAAGTAAAATTTAGAACCTCTAAATAGCTGAAATTACAGTTGTGTGTCACCCAGTGTAAGTGATAAATGAATTCAGTAAGATAATGAAATTAACATAAAAATATCAGTAGGTATTTCTGTATAAAAATAACCAGTTAGAGAATATAACTGGAGAGAAAAACCCTATTTACAAAAGCAGTTTAGGACCTTATGAAATACTTAGGAAAAACCTACAGAGAAATGTATAAAACCTCTTGGAAACTTTCCAACTCTCTTAAAAAATAAAAAAGTGGACTGAAACAATTGGGAAGAGCCCTTTTTTAGGGAGCTCAGGTATTTAAAGGTGTCAGTTCTTCCTACATTAATTTATTATGTAATGCATTAACAAAACCCAAAAGTTTGTCTCCATAGAGTTAGACAAGTTGATAATAAAGGCCTCGTGGAACATATATGTGTATATGTATATGTATTTTTTTTTTCTTTAGGATAACTGGGATGATGATGATGAAGAAAAAAAAGAGGAAGCAGAAGTAAAACCAGGTGAGCCACTAGTGCTCTTCCATTTTTGGTTTTATATCTTGGTGTAGGCATTTAGTGCTTAAATAACAAAATGCTCACAAAATTGTTGGTATATTGAAACTAAGCATTCTTCTATTTCTTATTTTCTTTTTCCTGCATCTCTTTTTTGTCTCCTTAAATGTAATCAGATATCGCCTCTTTTTCTTTTTGAGTGCTGGGCTATGAAGAGAGAGCAGAGGGAGTGCAGCATTATAGTTATTTGAATGCTGTTGGTCTTGCTTAAAGGGTGGTAGGAATATATGTAGAGATATTTGATCTTATGGGTCAGATTAGAGAGGAAAAGACTTCTAGAACTTTACCACTTTAATTTTCTAGAATATTACCATATGAATCTGAAAGCTAGGAAAAGTTTGGTCTCTTAAAGTATTTAAGTATCTTATCTGTCCCATCCTTGAACTGCAAAGAACTTAATAATCATGAATAAAATATTTCTTTCAGAAATAAAAATTTCAGAAAAGAAAAAAATAGCAGAGAAGATAAAAGAGAAAGAAAGGCAACAGAAGAAAAGGCAAGAAGAAATTAAAAAGAGGGTTAGTACTGTTCATTTTCTAAAATACATACAGAATTCTAATATCAGTAGTGGTACAATGTTTAACAGACAATTTGATTTGAAGGGCCCTGTGAAGAATGTAAATAAATGGATACTTATATAGCTTATATAGTGAGGTAAATCCCAAAACAAATTGATATGTGGTTTTTGCAAAAATAGAATCCAGATGCTGTATGTATTTCAGGAACAGTCACAATTACACAGTAACCACAGCCAGTGATTTTTTTTGTCAATGTTTGCAGTTCTTTCTAGTCATGATTATTTGTGGTGTACATACTGAGTAAAATATAGAAAGCATTCATTTCTGTGTCATACACTATATAAATATTTTTGTTCTTGATTATTTGGAACAAGATCAGTAATATTGTATTAATTTGCTTTTTGAATAGAAAGTACATTTACAGAATTCAAAAATTAAGATAGTTTAACTCATTTATACTGTATATTTTCCTATATCCCACAGTAAGGCTTTCTTATCTCTTCTAGGTATCTTTATGAACTTGATGTGTCTGGATATAACTACATTTTCTTTTCTTATTTTTTTTTTTTAATTTGATACTGAGGATGGAACCCAGAAGCACTTAACCACTGAGCCATTTCCCCCCCCCCCCACTCTTCGTGTACTGGTGATTGAGCCCAAGAATACTAAATCCCCAGTCCTCACCCCCACCTCCCCTGTTTTCCCTTGGTACTGGGTATTAAACTCAGGGGCACTTGACCATTGAGCCACATCCCCAGCCCTACTTTGTATTTTATTTAGAGACAGAGTCTGAAGTTGCTTATTAGCACCTTGCTTTTTGCTGAGGCTGGCTTTGAACTTTTCATCCTCCTGCCTCAGCCTCCCCAGCTTGCTGGGTTTAGAGGTGTGTGCCACTGTGCCCAACCCCCTAGCCCTTTTTATTTTTTTATTTTGTAACAGGATTTCACTGAGTTGCTGAGCCTGGACTTAAATTTGCAATCCTCCTGCCTCAGCCTACTCTCCTAAGTTGCTGGAAGTACAGGTGTGTACTGCCATGCCCAGACACCTTTTTATTTGATATACCATAAAGATCCTTTCATATAGGTCATAGAAAGCTTTATTCTTTTCCTTGACTTTTTATTAAGAATATTTTCAAACATAAAAAGTAGAGAAAATAGAATAATGAGTAATATGTAGCACCTAAATTTGTCATTATATTTCCAAATTTGCTTCAACTATTTTTGTCTCGCTAAAATACAATAATAAACTTTATGCATTTTGTCTTTAGTTCAGTACACATTTCTGAAAACGGATATTTCTAATATGATTACAATCATATCTCACCTAAAAAATGAACAGTAATTTTTAAACATAATCTATCTAGTATCCTATTTACATACAAATTTCTGATTATCATAAGATGTCTTTTAGGTATGGTCTGCTCAAATAAGGATCATGCATTGCATTTGGTTGTTAATGTATCATAAGTCTCTTAGAGTATCTCTCTTTTTCTGTCCCTCTCCCTTCTCCACTTCCTTTCTCTTTCTCTTCATTAACTTGTTGAAGAGACCAGGCTATTGTCTTATTGAACATCCCCCTTTCTATATATATTTATCTGATTACTTACTCATAATTTTAGTTTCTTCAGTTTGGCAGTTGAGTATAAAATTTTGGTTAGATTCATATTTGATATTTTAAGCTGGACTACTTTGGAAGTAATGCTGTATGTTTCATACTATAACACATCAGGAGTCATCTCTCCTGTGTTATTGATGCTAAAATTGGTCACTGGATTAAAATGTTGACATCCTGATGCTTCTGTCTTTCCTTTTATGGGTAATCCAAAAATCACATCAACCTCTCACCCAGTTATAATGTTTTTGATGATCATTGCCTAATTATTTAATTAGGGATTGCAGAATGATGTTTCTCATAATGGTAACTTTTCTGTTTATTGGCTGGCTCTTTTTTCTATTTGTTATTTGGTTACTTTGAATATGGTTTGTATTAGAAAGGCAGAGTTAAAAACTTAATCCTCTAATTACCAATTTTCAGAGTAAGAAGAGGGAGTGTAATGTCAGTGAAAGATGAGAGGCAGTAACAGGTTTTTGTAAACTCAAACTCATTTGTAGATTCATTGTGTTTTAATCAATACAGTGTCACAACCTCTGCTTCACCCACCAGTCCTGGGAACCAGATCCTAGGTTCTGTGCTGCAACTTTAGCCCTCTCCTCGCCCCCCACCCCTTTTTTGTTTTGACAGTGTCTGACTTAAACTGTTGAGGAGTAGCTGGGATTACAGGTGTATGCTACTGAGTCCCACTTTTCTCTTTTGTATTCAACTTTGTTTTTTTCAGAAATTAAAGCTATATAAAAGTGGCATACTCAGAAACATTTCAAATTGATGAAAGTAGATCAGTTTTTTTTTAAAAAAAATATTTTTTAGTTGTAATTGGACAATACCTTTGTTTTATTTGTTTTTATGTGGTGCTGAGGATCTAACCCAGGGCCTCACCTGCACTAGGCCAGTGCTCTACCGCTGAGCCATAACCCCAGCCCAGATCAGTTTTTTTTAATTAATTACTTTTTGTGGTACTGGAGATTGAACTCAGGGCCTCATGCTTAGTGCTACCACGAACTAAACCCCAGCCCTTTAATGTTTTCATCATGCAAAAATATAAGTATGTGAAGCGACAAATATTCTACTGACCAGCTTGATTTATTCATTTCACAATGTATATATCAGATTGTATATTGAAAATATATACAGTGTCAATCATACAGGGGAGGAAGATCTCAAATATCCATTCCTCTCCCCTCCCTTTTCCCTATAACTGCCTGTGGAAACTGTTTTCATTAATTTCTGGTTTATTCTAAATCAGTTTTTTGGTAGCTATGTAACATTCCATTATCTGGACGTACCATAATTTATTTTACCAGTTCCCCATTGATGGTCAGTTAGATTTGTCGATCCTGTCTTTGATAAATAATACTTCAGTGACTAACCATTACATATTGTTACTTCTAATACGTGTATCCATGTTTGTAGAATAAATTTCCAAAGATGGGAATGCTAGGTAATGGGTACATTTTTTTTAATATTTATTTTTTTTTAGTTCTTGGCGGACACAACATCTTTATTTTTATGTGGTGCTGAGGATCGAATGCAGCGCCCCGCGCATGCCAGGCGAGCATGCTACCACTTGAGCCACATTCCCAGCCCCATGGGTACATTTGTCTCACAAGTATTTCCAAATTGCCCTCCATGTATTGTTGTAATAACTGTATATGTTTCTCTGATCAGTATAAGCATTGAATCTTAAAACTCAGTCTAAGGAGTTGTATTGATTGACTCTTTCCTGGTCATCTAAGTTAGAATTATACTGTTATATTTTTATATTAGTCTCTAATATGAAGAAACCGTAATTTTAAAAAAAAAAATGAAATGTGTGTGAGATCCTGGAAATTGAACCCAGAGATGCTCTACCACTGAGCTATATCCCCAACACTTTTTTACTTTTTATTTTCAGACAGAATCTTGCCAAATTGCCAAAGGTGGCTTCTTCAAACTTGAGATCTTCCTGCCTCAGCCTTCTTGAGTTGCTAGTTTTACAGGCATACACCACCATACCTGGCAAAAATAATGTTTTCAGATGCTTCAAAGAAAATGTGTTCTTAATGGCTATTAGTATTGTTGTTGGACATTTTAGGTGGTCTCTGAATTGACTTGTAATTATAATAATTTCAGTGGCTTAAATAAATATGTGCATCTTAGACTTCTTAAGCTAAATACCTGGAAATGGAATTACTTAATTAAAGCATATTAAAGAATTTTAAGACTTGATAAATATTTTAAGTTGCCCTTAGAAAGGTTGTTCCAGTATAGTAATAACAGTATATGAGAGTGCATTTTTCTCTTACCTACAATTTTAATTCCTTGTTTTTTTTATTTATGTTTTTTTTAAAGAGAGAGAAAGAGATGAGAGAGAATTTTTTTTATTATTTATTTTTTAGTTTTTTCAGCAGACACAACATCTTTGTTTATATGTGGTGCTGAGGATCGAACCCGGGCCACATGCATGCCAGGCGAGTGCGCTACTGCTTGAGCCACATCCCCAGCCCCAAATTCCTTGTTTTTAAAAAAGGCAATAGGAATAATCCTAGTGTTCCGGGTTCAAATCTTACCTCTGTTAACAATATAAGCTGTGTTACATCTGTTATCTCTGTGCTTCTGGAATTTTTTTCCTATGTAATTGGGATAAGAATATCTAAAGTGTTTAGAAGAATGTCTGAAATATAGTCATCACTTTATAAATGCTTGCTTATTTATAATTGTAAGTACTTATAAAAAAATTCATCCACTATAGAATTATACCGGGTCCATCATAATCACAGCCCTTTTAAAACTTCTGTTTCATTTCAGTTAGAAGAACCTGAAGAACCTAAAGTGCTAACGCCAGAAGAACAATTAGCAGATAAACTGCGGCTTAAGAAATTACAGGAAGAGTCAGATCTTGAATTAGCTAAAGAAACTTTTGGTAAGATGGGTTTGTGATTTTAGTGCAATACTGAATTATTGTAGCTGAAAACTCTAGGAGTCTTTAAAGTTGTGAAAGTTCAACTTCGCCTTTTTTTTTTTTTTTTTTTTTTGTGGTGCTGAAGAGCAAACCCAGGACCTTGCACATGTTAGGCAAAGCCCCATCACTGAACTGTACTTTTGGTACTGGGGATTGAACCCAGGGGCACATAAATACTAAGCCACATCTCCAGCCCTTTTTATTTTCTGTTTTGAGACAGGGTCTCCCTAAGTTGCTGAAGCTGGTTTGAACTTGCTATTCTCCTACCACAGCCTCCTGAGCAGTTGGAATCACAGATGTGTGCCCCTGCTCCTGGCAAACATCATTTTTTTAAGTCTTTGGAAATTTTTTTTAACATAATCCTGTCAAATTTAGATATTGTAAAGCAGTTTTGAGATTTCATTACTTGAAGGCAAGTGTGAAGGACGTACATGTTCAGATTTTTGAGTAACTGTTTGTAGTATATTAAAAGATTAAGTTGTCATTGGATCCAAATAAAGTACATCATTGCCTAGCATGTATCAGCTGGGTGAAACTTGAATGAAGTCTGAGGTCTGTAACTTTTTTTTTTCTTTTTGAGGTCTGTAACTTTGAAATTTAAGTAGTGAACTTACAGTGCTATTATAGTGCTTATAGTGCTTACAATGCTATTATAGTGCTTACAGTGCTAGTATAGTGCTTATAGAACTTATAGTCTTACAGTGCTATTCTGAGCTAAGACAAGACTTGTGTAGTAGGTAATAGGATGACAGTCCATGTGACATTCATCTTTGTGCCTTCTTGTACTCAGTTGTTTCTTTGTGTGGTCCTCTCCTCCTTGGCCTTCACCATGCCCTTTCTTTCAGGGGCCACCATTTCTGTGTATCATGCCTGCAGCTGTGATTCAGGATCCTATACATTTGATGTGTTTTAGGGGAGATTCATATGACAGGGGTACACCAAGTTTGTTGTTAGGTATTGAGTACTTTTCAGACTAGAAGATCCTATTAAATCAGTTAAGAAACATTGAAAATGAAATCTATAACCAAGAAGGCTCTAGTTGACCTGGGTTTTTGCCAGTCCTTTCTCAAGTGCATCAGGGGACGATTGCAGTGATCATTCCCTTTATAGAGATCTATGACCTCATTTTCTCATTCAGTCTTTAGCAATCTCAAGTGTGACTATGGGGCTGGGCTGGGCCGGGCCAGGCTAGGAACATAACTCTGTAGTAGAATACTTGCCTAGTGTATGAAAGGGCCTTAGTTTGATCCCCATCATCATCCAACAAAAAAAAGTGGCTGCCAAAGACGCTCCTATATGCTGCTTGGCAAGTCCTAAAAGTACTCATCTAATTATAGAGGGCACTGGGCCCTTATTTCATGTCTTCATAGGATGTTCAAAGCTGCCCATATGCTTATTAAAGAGGTGGGTTTATGCATTGTGCTCTTATAAAGCCTAGTATGGAATACCAATTACAGATTAAAAAGTAAAATTATATGCATCCATATACAGTCATTGTTTAATTAATAGAATTTTACTGTTGTGTTTCTCATACTAAAATACTCAATACATGATTTTAACAACTAATTTACTCTTGCCCTTGAGAAGGATACAGAATCATACTGTCATTTAGCCTATAATTCTTTTAAGTCAGATTAATTTTTCTGTTGGGATTTAACACATGGCATACCTCTGCTTAGTTTTTGGATTTGACTGGGTATTAAGGCTCCATCTTTGTTTCTTACATTTTTTTCCCCCTTTCCATACTTTGCTGTGGCTGAACTTTTGGACAGACCTTTAAGAACATCTCTTTTGTGCCATGGGATTCTTTGGCAGCTTGGTGAATTTATGGGCCCTTTTGTAGCATAATATTTTCAAATGAATTCAATAAATGCATAGAATTTTATTTACAAAGGAAACCTATAATTGAAAATAGATATCAAAATACTAAAATAATGAACTTATTACAGAATTTATTTTTTATTTTATTTTTTATTACACAGTTTTATTTTATTACACAATTTTAATTTTATAATTTTTTATTATACAATCCCCCTTGTATTGGGGATTGAATCCAGGGCCTCATGCATATTAGGTCCTCTACCACTGAGTTGCACTCCCAGCCTGTGTATGCTTTTTTATTAATAAGATCCAGTGGCAAATCTAATAAAAAAAGGTTTTTTTGAAGGTAATGACCATACAGTATTCAAGATATCTGCTAAAACTATAATGTGATATGATATTATTTATGGTCTCTATAAGTGAAAATCAAAATGTAAATTTATTTCTCTCATTCAAATTCATAGGGCATGCTCCCCACCATACTCCACTCCCAGATTCTGTCCAAGGGCTTTAATGGGTCTAGATTAAGAATCTGTTTTAGAATGAAACAAAACTTTCTGATATTCCTAGTGTTTCTTCTCTTCTACAGGTGTTAACAGTACAGTTTATGGAATAGATGCTATGAACCCATCTTCAAGAGATGATTTCACAGAGTTTGGAAAGTTACTAAAAGATAAAATTACCCAATATGAAAAGTCACTATATTATGCCAGTTTTTTGGAAGCCTTAGTTCGAGATGTGTGTATTTCATGTAAGTAATTCTCATTTCTAGCCCCTGTGGGTAGATTTTAAGTGAAATTATACTCAGGGAGAAGCAGGGATGGGGGATTTTTTTTTTTTTTTTTTTAATTCTGTTGTAGAAACTTGAGGATTTGCTTCTTTTGTTCTACATGTACAGTTAGTGTGAGTGTTGGGTTTTTTGGGTGTGTGTGAGCGGGGATAGTCTGCCTTCACTGGTGTCTCAAAGAGACATCTGGGCTTGTCAGCAAAGCAACTGAGTAAATTTTTTTATTTCTTGAAAGGGAGGTATCTTTTGGGGGAAATGGCCTCTGGGCTTTCAGGATTTTCAGGTGAGTGAGAGACTTCCAGTGTTTGGAAGCTTAAGACAAAATACTTAATAGAGTTGGCACCCATCCTCTGGGATGCTGCTGTGGTGCCACACCCCAAGGAGTCATACCTTTCAGAGTGACAGCTATGGGTGATGCAGTAGTAATGTGGAAAGGACTGGTTTTGCTAGTATTTGCTGTTTGAAAAAAAGGAATCCTACTTAATGAATTATAAATTGGGTTTTCTTTGAGAAATGATCAGTAAGCTGGGGCTTCTAAAATTAATCAGTGAAGTAACCAGAGTTGGTATTTCATTCTGCTGTACTAATTTTCCTATTTTGGAAGGTTCTGTATCCCAAACTGAACATTTTCTGATAGCTAAAATCTAGATATCTTTCTGGCTTCATGTTTTTAAAAGGATGGGAAGGTATGTTCACCACTTAACAGGCCACCTTGTAGCACACTGAGATAAATCAGTTTTCATTCTAGTTCTGTGATAGAAAATGGAGTCCTCCTAGGGGTATGGGGTTTTCTTCTGCAGGTTCAAGAAATCTTAACACTTCATTGATGCTCAATGAGCAGTAAGGAAGTGCATGGTTATCCATCTGTTTAAACTGAAGGAAAGATAGAAGGGAGAGTACTGTGCAATATTAAGTCACTTTTAGTTTCTGTATGATTGAGCAACAGTATGTTGTTGTAGGTCATTATAAAGTGGAATTTTTGTTACTGAATTCACCATTTTTAAGTAGTTCTACCTTGAGCTGAGCCATAAACTCTTGATTCCCTAATCACCTTATGTTTTTAAAAGTTCAGTCATTTTCAGGGTTACTTGATGGACAAATTAGGCTTCTCAAAACATTTTTGGAAGGATATCTATTTTGCTTTAGTTTTCAAAATGGTTAAAACTTGGAAGATCAGTGTCTTTTTTTTTTTTTATAGTGGAAATTGATGACTTGAAAAAGATTACCAATTCATTGACTGTGCTTTGCAGTGAAAAACAGAAGCAAGAAAAGGTAAGGACAAGCTGTGCAGGGAAACAAGTATTATGTTAGGATGGGTTTGTGAGAAAATTCTCAAATATAATAGGGGTCTGTCAAAAACAAGTCAAGCACTACCAATACCATTTAAGTTGGAATAGAACAGGAGTATGGGTGCCAATACTGTCCTTTTGTTTATAGACATGTTCGAATTTCTCTTCTCAATATTAATAGAAATTGCTATAAATTAGGCTTGAGCTCTCCCTTAAAAAATTAAGGTTTCTTCTGGGACCCGATGCTTTTGATATTTCTATGAGAGTTGCTGTATCAGATAAAATGTCCATAGCAGATAAAGTCTCTTGAAATAACTCTTTCTCATCTTTAGCAAAGCAAAGCCAAAAAGAAGAAGAAAGGCGTGGTTCCTGGAGGGGGATTAAAGGCCACCATGAAAGATGATCTGGCAGATTATGGTGGTTATGATGGAGGCTATGTACAAGACTATGAAGACTTCATGTGACATTTTATCTTCTCCTGGTGTCTTCTTTCTGTTGCCCACAATCCCTTCAACATGTAGCACAACTTCCTTTCCTTTCAGTTCTGCCAAATGCTACAATCAGAAGTGCAGTATCTTTTGTGCTGGTTATTTTACCCCTTGACACTTAGGTGCTAATGTGCAAATGAGGGAACGTGGATCTTGCTGCCAAGGGGTTAAAATTGGGGAACCTCAATTGCTACTAAATCATAGTTTAAAAAAAAACAAAACCTAATAATGTTGTCATTGTTGCTGTTTGATTCCATAGCAGCAGCCACTAAATTGGAAACAAAGGTTGCAACATGACAAAAAATTATGTAGTATTTACCAGCACCATTCAGTAATACAGCCTTAACCATACCTCCTTGAACTACTTCATAACTTGTCAAGAAAAGCAGTTTGCAGCAAGGGCATGTGGTGTGCACCTAGTATTAAAATTGCTTTGTCTTAAATTGAGCGTGAGGATGTTAAAAATACATTGTGAAGAAGACTGCTTATCTCAGACTGAAGATACTGCAGCTGAAAAGTACTAGTGTGATACTTAAAAATTAAATGACCAAAACCCTCCAACTTTGAAGCTGAAGAAGGTAAACTTCTCCATTTTTGCAGTACAGTAAAAGTTGTGGAATCTCTTTATTTATCAGACTATTTTTACTGATGAAGTGCTTCAGATGGGGGAGGGAAACTGTTTTTATTTGCCTGATTCAAGTGTCTGAGAAACAAATCTCTTTGTTCTCGTAGGCTGCAATGGAACAACTTTAACAGGGTTTTGGCATTTCCTTTCCTTTATAAAACATGCTCAGCAAACTGCACCAGTTAACTACAGTTTGGTAAATTGTTATGTTAACAATTATGACATCTGCAATGTTTTATAAAGCAACTAATTTAATAAAATCACTATTGTGAGGACTTAAATTTTGTGTTACCTCCCAAGAGATATTTTTGGAGAGTACAGAATGCACCTCTTGGGACTAGAGTTCTTTATATACTTAATAAAGTTTAATCAGTGCTTGATGTAGTTAACAGCTTTAAAACAATGATTTGCCAGGTCTTTAACAGTGTCACTGTAGAGCAACAAAGGTGTGGGGCTGTCTTCCTCTTACTTGGGAAGTTATTGTTTTTAGATACTAAGGCCTAATGAATACCTAGAACAACTATTTATTTGGAATTATAGAGTCTACAACTCAGGATATGGCTCTAAGCATAAATTGTGGGATCTTTTTTATTATATCTTAAGTGATTTGACCAAATTTGTGGTTTGAGTCTTTGTTTCCTTAATTGTCATAATCGGAATATAAGAAATATTTCTCATTTCCATAGGAAATAAACCTCAAAGCTCTGTAGACTACTAAGTGGAAAACATGACCATCTAAATGACCAGAAGGCCATGATTACACAGCAATAATTATAGTAAATGTTGTTTTAAGGCAGACAAGGGCTAAGATTTCCTTAGCAGTAATAATGACATACACTGAATTTAAAATCTATTTTATTATAGAAAGATCAGTTTCTAACAAATGAAAATGTATCATCTGTTCCTTAATTGTGTAAATAATATTAAATATATTTGAAACTGGAATCTACAGGCATAGGTATTCTTTAATCATTACTGTATCACCTCCTAATACAGAAGCCATCTTGAGGAAGAAGAATACCAGTATCCATATAAAATGGGATAGATGAACAATAACTTCAAAGTAGAAATTTTCCTGGTGAAGTCTCGCCTTCATTACCTACCACCTACAAAGACTGATATGGTACAGTCCTGAGCTTTTCTAATTCAGACAACAAAGATCCCCAGTGCATTATTCTACTTTGATCATGAACATGTGTCAGAACCTCACATCAGTACAAGAAAACAGGCACCTTTGAGATCATCTAACCTGAAAGCATATCCTTTAGACAGCAACCTGTTTGAGGGTCCTTCAGAAGTACATTTATAATTTCATAAAATTTGTGTTCATATGCCAACTTGTAATACAGGTAGATATCTTCACAGTATGAAAGTAACTTCTTCAAGTTTTCTGTGACCTTGTTGGTAGGCTGATGTTGTTTATATCTAGACAAAAGAAACATAAGAATGTAAAGAGTAAAATTCTCTATCTTTAAAGGGCTGTCAGCTTTTAAAAACCACTACTTATAAGAGAATGCTGTAGCCTTGAAATTTATCAAACACCCCCAATAATAGTTTGAGATAAAATATTTTATTAAAGTATGTCAATGCTTACCTTAATAATTATAGTAAGTTTAGGACTCAAAGGCATCTCAGGCAAACTGAGTAGCTATCCTTCCATTTTAAGTACGAAACACTAAGCAAACTACTCTCATTCATCTGTTTGCGTGAATCTTCTAAATGATCACTTCTGGAAATTCTTGACATTTTGCCATTTTAAGCTGAAGGTAGTAGTTAAAGGTATGCTGTATGTATCAGCCATAAATTTCTTTTTCTCACTTCACTTCAAAGCTCTAGGGGCTGGGGTTTGGCTCAGTGGTAGTGTACTCGCCTAGCATGCATGAGGCACTGGATTTGATCCTTAGCACCACATAGAAATAAAAGATATTGTGTTCATTTAAAACTAAAAAATAAATATATTTTTTTTTTAAAAGCAGAAAGCTTACAGTCAAAAACCATCCCCCAAAGACAGGGTCTCACTGTATTCCAGGCTGGTCTCGGCTTCAGTGATCTTCCTGCCTTAACCTCCCAAGTAGCTGGAGCTGAGACTATAGGCTCGTACCCATAGCACCTAGCATAGAAACTTAGTACTTACTTTTTTGAAATTTCTTCAATTATACTAGGTCTTAACAACCTTTGTTGTTTAAATTCTTCCAAATAAGTAAAATCTCCTTTAAGAATCACTTTTTGGTATAGAATTTCTGCCCAATCTGGAACAAAGTCATAGGCCTCGGCCACAATAGAAGCCTTTTTTGAAAGAACAGAAATGAAAAGTATCATTAAAGCCAATTTGATGTTAAGATTTAAAGCAAACTGTTCTAGAAAATAATAGTGATGTATCATTTCTCACTTTGTTAAAAGGTTCCATGTATCATAATCAATGAAAAGTCATATTTCAATTTGGCATTTCCTCTCCCATAAACACCCAAATACCTTCTTTCACTGTTTTTAATGTTCTTCAAAATGGGCTAATAAAACTGAGAAAGAATACTATATTATTCCCACCAGCTCAACTGTATAAGGAACAGTGAAAAGGTTGATACCCTAACATCAACCCCTCTTCATTAAAGGGCCACACTGAATCTCCTGGCAGTCTAAGATTCCTGATGCTGACCTGAGATTCATGGCTCTAATGTTGGTGTAAGATTGACAGCTAAACCAGACGGGACTGCTCTGATTCTGTTCTAGTACTGAGACCTCAGACAACTCAATTCAACGTCTGGTACCATGAGTAATACAGTAGGAGGGATGTTGGCACTGCCGGCTAGAGTTTTCCTGTTCACCTGGTAGAACCGAGGTAGGGCCATGATACAGTCCATCAGCTTTTGGCGGCCTAAGTTGATAAGCATTGTGTTCTGGCCAGTGTTCAGAAAGTGAATCTGTAGGGTTATCAACCTGGTAAGGCGGTGACAGTGTAGGGCCTGTCGTACACAGGAGTCCTGAGAGAGGAGGGTAGAGAGAGGCACAGACAGAAGATTTATTAACATCTTTTATGTGAACCCTCCAACTATAGTCACCCATTCTGCTCTTGCTTAACCCATGACACCATCCCTGCCTTAACTTGGAAAACCCTAGGGACCAAAAAAGAAAAAAATTATATCGCAGACACCAACTTCCAAGGCCAATCTGGAGTAAGACTTTGTAGTTACCTTGGCATAACTCTCTGCTGCATCTAGCATCAGGGTCAGGGCCTTCAGCAATAGCTGCTTCAGCTGGAGTCCATCCTTGAGGTTGTCCTCTGCTGAGGATAAAAGACACTTGCTGAGTCTAACTGCTCCTAAGGTAGGCTGTTCTTGCCCACACAGTGATGGTGGGGGCTAGAAGAGAAACATCCCAGCTGTGTTCATAGGGAGGCAAGTATCTCTTAGGTAAAGGGTGTTGGGCCAGAAATATACATTCTCAGTAGAACTTCACTATGGAGGATTTAGTGCCCCTGTAGTTCACTTCTCTGGAACATCCAGGAAGGCTTATGTGGCATAACCATAGTTCCTGATGGATGATACCATCTGCCTGGCTGAGGCTCCCACAGTGACAAATACCCACCTTAGCTTCTAACAGCCAATCTCAAATGAGCTCTTAACCCTTGGCCTTAAAAACTCCCTGGTTAGCAGCTTTGTGACCTTGCTCACCCCAAGGCTGAGAATCAATCAATTTCAGTTGGATGCAGGCAGCTGCCTCATGGTTCTCCCCGATCTCTCGGCACATACTAAAGCACAGGGCTATCATGTTGTGCTTTTCACTGTCTCCAGGGCGGCACCGTTTGATATAATCCAGCAGGGCTGTCTTCAGGGTACCACTCTGCCAAAGGGAGGAAAAAGGGAATACCACAGTCTCAATGAGGGAATACAAGGCAGGCAGAAATGGCTGAATCTCTTAGTTCCCAAAGTTCTGTAAAAACTACCAAGGAGGAGAGGGGAAGGTATTTGGGGGGTGATATTAACCCAAATTACATTGTTATGTTGTGTGCTTGTACAAATATGTAACAACAAATCCTACTACTGTATAATTATAATGTACCAATAAAAATAAGGAAAAAACTCCCAAGAAACAAAGATTTAAGAAGTGAATAATTTAATTTATATTCTCAGTATAAGGAAACAGGCACATACTTTTTGCTGCTGGGAATATGAGCAGTAAAGCCTTTCAGAAGGGAGAAGCCTTAAAATTTAATATATATGCATGCAAATGCTGACAATTTGATTTCTAGACATCTATCCTAAAGAAAGAAGCAGAGGAAAGTGCTAAAATGAATGTAATACAGATACTTAGCAATTAATTAGAACTACTAAAAATACCCAAAATAAGAGCTAAGAGAATAATACCTTGTAGCCATTAAAAAGTGATATAGAAGATTATATGCTGATTTGACAGTTATAGTTATGCTTAATGTTAAGGGGGGATAGGAGGCTGTTTCATATCTTTTAAGCTTAATGTAAGTTGTGTTAAAATATGTAAATATGTACGTATGTGTTGGGATACATGTGCAAACAAAGGGCATATACCAAATTGTGAGCAGTGGCTGTCTACAGATAGTGGGTAGACACTGAGGAATTTTTTTCCTGTTGTTTTTCAAGTGTCTTACATGGAATTTGCATTACTTTTGTAATCAGAAAAAAAAGTTATTAAAAGAATATTTAAATGCAGAAACTGCCTCAAAAACCATTTTACAAACCTCTGGGGGAATTGTGAAGATGTACCTATGTCTAATACTTGTTCTTCTCCCAGTGGCTGGACCAGTCTGTTGGTCTGTTTTGAAACTGGTCCAAGATGAGATTTTTTTTGGGGGGAGGGGGGGCTTTCTTTTCATCTTTTTTGGCTGGCCTGGGCTCTCAGAAACCAAAAACATACTCTTGGGTTTTAACTCTTAAGAGGTGAACTAGGCAAAGGCAGTAAATCAGCCAAATGTATGATTTGCAAACAGGGGCTGTGTGAGTGTTATACCTGGTGACAGCATGCTGGGAACAGACAGGTTTGAAATCCCAAAGACAAGACCTGACTCATGTCTTTACTTCCAAGCTTCCTTTCTAGTAGATATAAATGGCTCAACAGCTACAGGCCTTTGTATTCATTCCTCACTTGACTCTCAGCAACATTTTTTCATGGTCTCCTGAAAATCCTACACTCAAGAACTTCAGACACAAGCCTGAGAACTGGACACTCCATTTTTAGCATGCTTCTCAGGAAGGATTTTGTCCCTGCCAGGGAAGGCACTTTAATTTTATGAGTAGAGGCAGGTGACAGGCCAAGGTGGAGAAAAAACTTTTTCTTCAATATTTGGTATCAACATTATCATTACTTTGTCTGAATTGAATTTGAAACCACTGAGGTCCCTGATTCCAACCCTG